TATAAAAACAAATATAAAATAAGAAAAAAGGTATAGTCTAACTAATATTAAGGCAAACAAAAACCATAAGCTTATATGAATAGTGGAATAACCAGAAATCTGAAACTGTAATCGATATGGAACAATTCAGAGGTTTATTTTGAGGTTAATTGTCAGAACAATTTATTCGGAGATTAAAAACTAAATCTGTGATTTTTATGTTCACTAACAATTCAGCATTTATGATGCCTCAGACTTATTCACATCAGGAATACCATGTTTATATTGTGTAATTCTAAAGTGACAAATGCAATGTTCTCATTCATCTGTATTCACTGAGACAGAAGAGAGGCTTGAGAGCATTGCTGGACTCTATTTTCCAAGCTAAATGGCACATGTACAGCCAGACTAAAGAGAATATATCTATCATTTAAAGTGTTTTCATAATAACTCCTTGGCTATTTCATGTCCCCTCTTTTATAATCTAATTCCTCCCTTTCCAAGTCATGTACTTCCATTCCCTTAAACTTCTCTCCTAACAGCTTGATCACACCTTACACTTAAGTCCTTGGTTATACACCACTGTTGTGGGAAACCCCCTCTGACTTTAAACAAAGATTATCTTTACTACCCCTCATAGCCTCTGCACTCCTTTTCAGGACAATGTGTTTGGGGTCCCCTTGGTCATGCTCACTGTTTGGGGTCTAAGGGTTCTCAGGGTTGAGAATGCCATCATATCCCAGCTTTGATTTATTACGGTGAAAGATTCAAAAGAAAATAAGCAGAGAAAATGCACATGGGCTCAAGTTCATAGGAATTACCAGCAAGAGCAGCACACAGTTCCCCAGGAAATATTTCATCTCTAAAACAGAGGTGATAATGGCATCTTGCAGTTTTATCTACCAGGGAAACTCACTATAGACTGGTGGTCTAGAGTTTTAGTGGGGTGGTCCTCTGGTCATTCATCTGCCTCACTCATGCAAGTAGTTCAGGCTCCATGAAAGAAAGAATGTGCTTAGGAGAAGCCCCATGCTTTGCAGTTCAAGTGAACTGGTGAAATCCATTAGTAGGGCTGCACTTTACCTCTGAAGTCCAAGTTCTCAGATGCTAACAGCATCCAAACTTTCCAGTAGGCTTTTGGGCTCTCAGACCTGTTAACTCTTTGGGGCACATGCTGTTGTAGAGCACATATCTTATGTGATATATATATATATCACATAAGATATATATATATATATATATATATATATATATATATATAAAGAGTATATACTAAATATTGTGTATATTCTATGTGTGCACATATATTGTACACATATTCTATGCTCTATGCTTATATGCACACAGTAGTATCATACATTTTTTCTCAATTCTGTCCTTTGAGCTCACTGAAGATTCAGTATATATTTTTTATTGCTTCACTATTCCAGCATAGAACAAGAGAAACAGTAAGAACTGTTGATTGGAAGGTCTGTTTGTTCAGTAAGGAATGGGAAGACCCAGGGAGGAGCGCAGACCTAAGGACAGAGGGAATGTTTTGTTATCCTGTCCTGGAAGGTGTTCTTACAACATCAGGAAACAGCCCTGTAACAACCGATGGAGTTTACCACAAACAAAAGGGAAGGAAGACAGCTAGTATGATTTATTATAATTCTTTCCTAAAAGATTTTATTATTGTTGAATATAAAACATTTAAGCTAACAGGAATATACAGTATTTTAAATATCTATCTTATTCTTATCACTGTCTGATTTATTCCAGCTCAACTATAAAAAGTGCATACATTAACATTACAGTCTCAAGTCCATTTGCCCAATGAGAGATTCCTAGGTGTTTTATTAATGCTGCCATTGAGGTCTAAATATTTGGACCTCCATGACGAGAGTAGAGGATACTTACACATTGCTTACCCATTTTCAAGATCCTTACCAAGATACACCTGTTGCTGATCTTTCTCTCTTTATAGATAAGGCCATAAAGGACTTTTAATAACCATTATTAACAAACATATGCTTCACTATCCATGTTCTCTATGACTCCATTATGCTGATTCACATACCCTTCACAATTACAATAGTTTCACATAAAATCATTTTAACAATCTTAAAGGATAAAAGTTTTGTTCCAGTTTTGGCATTTTCTTCTCTGACATGTGAAAATTAAAGAATTCAAATATTTATAGGTTTTGTCATTTCATACTCAGGAGTCCTCAGGGTTACTGAAGAGTTTATCATCTAGTAATTCATAAGAGTAGTAAGGACCCAGTAATGAATTTATCACCGTTGGTTATCATTTTGACTCAAATACAAGGAGAATTGCAATGGGCTAAGAGATTTATATTCATGGAAATATACCAGGGTTTGGTATCAAACTTTTCTGTGCTACAACTAAGGTATCAGAAAAAAGATTTTTATTACTCTCCAAATGTCAGGGAAATCCTTAAGAAGGCAGAGATGGGGAGTGAGACTTGTGATTTTATGTCTTTATAAAACCTGGGACAAGATCTCCTGAGCAAATTGGGAGGGGGGAGGGAGCTAGGAGAATGAGAAGGGGATAAAAGGAGAGGTAAGGAGGACACCCACAACTAATCACTGAACTGAACTGAAATCCAGTTTCAGAGAAGAACGAGTGATGGGCATAGGGGTCCAGACCAGGCTGCTGAAACCCACAGAAACAGCTGACCTGAACAAGAGGGAACTCTTGCTCCCCAGACTGATAGGTGGGATGCCAGTATGGGACTGATCCAGACCCCAGGTACATGGGTTTCATTGAGGAAACCTCTGAAATCTACTGGACAAGATCTCCTCTTGTAGTAGTTCAGTACTTATCCTAGCATAGGTATGGACTTTGGGAGCTCAATCCACATACAGGGATACTCCCTGAGCCAAGACACATGAGCCTAGGCCCTATCCTAAAGAATATGACAGACTCTGATGACACCCTATGGAAGGCCTCACCCTCCCTGGGGGAGCAGAAAGGGTATATGATAGGTAGGGTTTTAGGTGGGGGAGGTGGTAGGGGAGGGAGAGGGAACTGGGATTGACACATAAAACAATCTTGTTTTTAATTCAAATAAAAAAATGAAAAAAATCTGAAAATTGTAAACACATTGCATTTTTTCAAGCATCAGTTTGGAAGAAGATATATTTGAGTTCCTAGATTGTGATTACTTAGTGTGGTAACAGAGATGCCAGCCCCTTGACTAGCTTCTAAATTGTTACTTGCTCAAAATTAATCTGTTCAGAAAGATGCCACTATTTAATGACTCTGGCTGGGCTTTCTCCTATGAGACTTGGATGACAGGCATCTAGAAGATGATTTGTTAATATAAAACCAAATGAAGAAATCCTTCAGGTGACTATCTCTGTAATGGGGGAGTAAGTGTCTTAGGGAGTTTAGGTGATTGCCTCAGGAAACAACGGAGCAGAGACTTGACTATCCCACATTCTGAAGTGTTGTCAATCAGAAGGGCACATTCCCTCTCAAATATCTCTGGAGGATTTCTACTTTGAATGTAACTCAAAGCAGTCAGTGATATTCCATCATATTTTCATTACTATAACAAATACCAGAGACAATACTGTTTTCCAGAGGAAAGATTTTTCTGAAACACAAGTTTTGAGTCTGAAGTCAATGACTAGGAACTTCTATTGTTTTTAGACTTCTTATGGGGCAGGAAGTGGGGGAACACAGCACAGTGAGAGCATTGCCCTCACCAGCAACACCCTTCAAGGGTATTCCCCAAGTGCTCTACCAATCACTCAACTGCACCATGGTTCTATTATTTCTCAGAGTATCAAGCCAGCAACACATAGGCCTCTGGGTATCACTTACTCTCCAACTACATCAGTTTTGAGTCCTGAATGTTTTGCAAGCAAGCATATGAGTCTTGTGTTCTGGATCATCTTTCAAAGGATGCTATCCAGTCATCCTAGATAGCTGATAGCATTGCAACACAGAGGTCCTTCTTACAGAGAATCTGGCAGGGATGTGTATGTTCAAGGTTGGGGATGCACTTCTGGAAGCACCCTGTACATGTGTATACATTATCTTTCTATAAGGTTTGTCCTCAGGAAGCCAGCTGAAGAGAATGACAACATTCTGGAACTCCTACTTCTCAATCAGAAACACAGCCATTTGCTTCTGGAAATTAAGCATAAAGTAGAGCTTCTGTAAATGGGAAGCTGGAGTTGGCATAAAGGCTAATGTTTGTTGTTAATTTCTGGAGCCACTATGAGAAACTATTGGGAAATTACTAATACCGGGTTAAGGCTGGGAATGTGGAAGGTCCCTGGTCAGTGAAAGGTCCTGAAAAGGAATTTGCCCTCATGCAAATCCATCTTGCTCCTGACAGTGTCTTGAAAAACTAGGGTCCCATTTGGAAAAAATGGCCATAAATTGTATTTTACTTCCCAGGCACCATATCTGCACATCCCATTTTAAATAATGGTACATCAGTGTTTTCAAACTAGGAAAAATTCTAGAATATTTGTACAGATTCATAATAATTTCCTGACTCTGTTTCCTGGATTGGACTTAAAGTCAGCCTAGGGAGTATTTTGATTTTTAACCATTAATTCTGTTGCAAATATGGCCAAACCAAAGTTTTTATGAAATTGATTTCTAAAAGTTATGCAGATAAAAATGTATACAGCTCAGGGAGATTGGCAGTAAATCTCGACATTTTAAATCCACAGGAATAGTGCCATAATTGCTGATAATTCTGATTTGTGTGTGTTGTCCCTATGGTGTTTGAAGTGGAGGGAAAAGGAGCCACAGCTTGCAGTATACCTCTGAAAGTAGTATACCTTCTATATCAAGAGCAAAGTGGAAAAACAACATAGATTATTATATAAAAGCATGATATTTTCAGAAGTAAAAGTACAAAATAGTTCAACCACCAATAACTCATATTTGAGTATTTCTTTTGCATAGCAACTATAGGTTAAATGTTATCAATATTCATTGAACTCGCAAAACACAGAAATCAACAAACAAGAACATGGAGAGATTTCACCTACTTTTGATATGTTACTTGATCGACTTGCAGAGCGCCCTGGGGATTTTTCATTCTGAAAAATGAAATTAGAAGCACTGATTAAAGGAAAGGGTGGTCCAACATTTTATCACCAAGAGGAAACAATGGAGCATCTCATAGGTTTATTCTCAATGTTTTGATGGATGGACCCAGAAAAATCTTATGCAAAGTAACTTTCATCAGATTGCATTTCTCTAATATATATTAGTACACTGTTAATATATTCCAATTACATTCCGAGTAGCAATTAAACTAGCAATATTTGTTTACATGATATTCTTTCTATAAAAAAACCCACTATGCAATCTCTTTGCAAATTAGACAATGAATGTACAACTCATTGTTTCAGCAACCAGAAAATTATGAATGAATTCTAGTTTTCCATGCAAGTAAACACCCTGTGCTAGATGTGCGGTGGAAACCTTCAACTCATGTTTTTGGGAAATACACTTTATTGGTCTTCTCTCATTTCACTTGCCTGTAAGCACTTGCTCTTTAAAATTTAAAATGATCTCAGTTATGTCTTCTGATTTAAAACTTAAAAATGTTTTAAAAATGTATACCCTGCTATTGCCTCTTAAACAATCTGTAATTTAGAAGAGAAGATGCTCCAAAAGTGCTTTTGAATGGCATTTTTTTTTAATAGCATGAAATTTTAAAGTACAAAGTGACCTTAAGGAGTTCAGCCTCCTAGTATGAAGGCAGGAGATTCTTTCCCAGGGAATTAACCACTTAGGGTCTTAGTCAGGACTGGCCCTGAACTTCTGACTGCTTCTTTCTGTTTGCTATTTCTATTCTAATTATCTGTTGGAGGATAAACAAGTGTAAAACCAGAGTGTATGGACAGGCATATAGTCTGTAGACAGTATTCAACTTAATGCTGTCTTCTTGACAGGAATTCATAGCAGCTGTGTTACCCACAGAACAAGCCAGCCAAATGTCCTGCATATATGGGGGAATCTGCTCTCCAGGCCCCAACATGTACTGAGCTGGCAGGATGTGCTTCTGGGGGAGGGAGACTCGTTCTGTTTGAGGAAATGGCCACTGGTAGTCTTTCTGTCTCTAGGGAATGGCTCCAGGACAATGCAATGTGCTTGACGTTTCCTATAATAAAGACTCGTGTTGGCAGATGTGCTATGGTGGAGAAACAGGCTACAGCCATTGAAAACTGTAGCTATGCTATATGCAGATAATCCAGCTGAACATGTGACATCCATTTCTTATAACCATGCTATTACAGACTGAGGAGCATGTGATTACAGACTGAGACGAGTCACAAAGATGTGATTAGTCACACCTCATAACAGCCTGAGATCCAGCCTGTGATGATTGTGCATAGTGCCCACAGATGTGTTCCTCTGATTAGCTCCTTCTGGTGATGGAAAATGGTGCTTTGCTCCTGACAGCTCAACTCGTCTTCAAGACACTAGTTAACAAAATCTATCTATCTTCCTCTCTCAATGAAATTTAGAGTTTCGACACATTATCGTGTGGAACAGAGGCAAATAAACTATATAAAATAATACTTTAGGGGGATACTTGTAGTAATGAGAGTGGTTATTCTGTTTGCCCATTTTTAATTCCTATGGCATTGGAGACTGTGGTTCATGAGTGGTAGGTGAAACTGATACACCAAGAACCAAGAAGGATAGAAAATATAATGTAACATGTGTCCTTAACTATTCAAACTAAATAAGCCTTTGTGCTAGTTAGAAATAAAACAGAGAGGGTCAATTCAGTTTCCAGTGGAGAACAGTTCACCACAGGGATGTGTATATGCTCTGTGCCAACAGCTTCCACTCAAGAAAAGAAAGCATTCATGTGATAGTTTGGTATCTCAGAGATCGTTTTAATATGAAATCTATTTATTGTCCCTATTTTCTCTGAATATAAGGTCAGTCGATGAAAAATGAAAGTGAGCTTACAGAAAAGTTAACAATTTTCATGGCCTAGTTTTCTAGTGTTCTATGCATTCTCATGGAGAAGGTAAGCTCATCAGGGAAGTGAATGGGCAAGACATCATGGAGTATATTGTCCCTGTGTTGGCAGTGATCTAAAGTAAGAGAATGCCTTGCTGCCAGATGTATGGTGGTATACCAGTTTGAGTAGATGTTTGACACTAGTGAACTTGAATTTCATTGCCATAAAACATGGAAGATGATATCTTCAGGATTGTTTTTTAATTTATTTTTTTATGTTCCAATCCTTGTTACCCCTCCCTCCAATCAGGATTGTTGTAAAAATAGAATAAAGGATAAAGACAATCATTTCTCATATTACAAGGTTATGACAGTTCTGTTGTTCGCAGGGGGAAGAAACACCCAAAAAACTTCCTACCAGTTTATGGTGGCCAGGCAGATTATTTGAGTCACAATTTTTTCACACCAATATTCTGGGCTCTCTATCTTTCAATCCTTGGATGGATTGCATTTTGGCTTGAAAAATTTAAGAAATAAAAACAACTGGATAGCCAGTTGGTGTGCTCTTCTCAGGAAAAAACCATTTCTCCTCTCTCAGCATCCCTGAGTTGTCTGTAAATCTGATAGAATTTACATGCCATAGGCTTTCCCCATCCACTTTAGCATGTTTTTGCTGTTGTTATTGTTCAGCTCATGTTTATGTGGTCATGTGGATGAGAGTTTAGAGGGGTAGCTTCTGACATCACCAGAAGACACAATCTTACAGCAAAGTCCCCCGACATCTGGCTCTTAAAATCTTTCCACCCCCTCTTCTGCAATGTTCCCATACCAAATGGTCACCCCTAAAATGTACTTATGGTAACATTATACAGACTGATAGTTTTATATTTAAGAAGATATGTTTATATTTATATATAAAATTAAATATATGCCTATATTTAAGAATATGTATGAATGTATTTAAGAATATGTATATATATGCACATAAAAACAATTAATGAAAAAAGGCATGAATTTGAAAGAGAGCAAGGAGATGTATATGGAAGGGAGAGATGAGAAATGAAGGGAGAAATGATGTACTTATAATCTTAAAAATAAAAGAAAAAAAATGAAATTTTATCTACCCATGGTGGTAAGGGATATTGGTTTCTTGCAGTGGAAGCAAAACACCAGAAGGACTTTCTCTTCCAAAGAAACTTCAAAAGCAATCTGTCCAATTTGCTACTAATTAATTGGGTGGCTAGTTCCATTACTATTGAAATAACATATTCTTTTTTGTAGATTAGTCAATATGGTTGTCATATCTCGTTATGATAAGTTTAAGTACTTTATGTTAGATAGAACATAAGGTGTGCCCAAATCTAACATGCCTTACTGATATTCAAATTACAGTGAACTTTTGGCCAGGAGAACTTGAAACCAACAACAGTTTCTGTCTAGTTTGTATGAAAAGTGTGGGATTATTGAAGAATAACTGTATTGGTATCTTGCTTGTACAAATAAAGCCTGTCTGAAGGTCAGAGAATAGAGTTTGCCATTAGCTAACTATAGAGATCTGTATAGCTTTGTTTGGAGATCTGTATAGCCAGACAGGAAGTGAGGTAAATAGCAGAAATAGGATACAAGCATGGAGAAACAGGAATGTGCCCTCTTGTCTGCTGAGACGCTAAGCATGTAAATAAAGTGTGGCAGTGACTTGCTCCTTCTTCTCTCTACTCTCTCAGGATTTTCCTCTATAACCTCTGGTATTTATTATCTAGACCAATTAACTACTCCATTTGCAAGTAATGCTGGATCTTGACATCATTCCCACACATGGAGAGAAACTCAGAGTTTCAAAGTCATATTTTTAATATCTTTCAAAAAGTGTTTGTTTGGTTATGAATGTATTCAATATGATTAGTTTTGTTATTAATTTACTGAATTTTTCTTCCAAACTCAATCTTGCTAAGAATAGTAGGATTTGGATGTGATGTGTATGTAGGTGTGGACTTGTATGTCCAGGTGTGTGCTCACCTAAGTGTGTATGGTGGAAGCCAGAGATGAAGTTTGGGTGTCTTCTATGCTGCTCTCCACCTTATCTTGAGACAGCTCCTCTCATAGAATCTGGAGCTTACTGTTTTAGATGGAATGGTCACTTGGGGAGCCCCTGGGATTTCCTGGATTCATCTCCAATCCCCAGTGCTAGGATTACAGTTATCATCAACAGGCCCATTTAAGAAAAAGTTTGCTTATTCTGTGTGTTTTTCATATCATGAATCTTGATACCATTCATTCCCCACACCATTGCATCTGCCTTGCACCCCTCCACACAGAATAAAACAATTCAAGAGAAAAAAATGAAGAAAATAAAATGTGAAGAAAAAATATAAAAGTCACAAGTCATGCTTTGCAGAGGCTAAAACAGGCATAACCCATACATAATTCATTGCATTTCCCATAAGGTCCAATCAAGGACAAGCATACATTCTGCCTATGTACCTCCCACCTATATGTGGTCAAGTGTATCTGGTGTAGTTGTTTCAAGCAAACTTTGTTAGATGAGTAAAAACATTGTTATTTTCCAAGAACTACATCTCCCAGTATTCTAGGAAGTTATCTTGCCCATGGGCAAGTGGAGCTTACAGGTTAATTTGGGCTTTTATAAGATGACAACTATTAACTAATGAAAATTAATTATACACATTCAAAAAATGTTTGTCCCAAAAGAAATACAACTCTCTGGAATATAGCTTTATAAACTATCACACATTTTAAAAAATAATAGAAATTGTATGCAGATTAAGAAATTGTTATTGCGGGGGCTGTTGAGATGACTCAGCAGTTGGGAGTGCACTGTTCTTCCAAGATAGGTTCTCTGTGTCCATATTCCTCACGAGTCCCTGAAATCCAGTTCTAGGTAGATCCAACAACTACCTCCACAGACCTCCCCAAACACACAGCATACACATACATAGGCACGCATATATATGGATAAAAAGAAACTTTAAAAATTATAATTGTATCAGGGTTTTCAATTCGATTCCATTGGTCTACCTGTCTATTTTTATGCCAATACTAAGTTGTTTTCAGGACTATAGATCTATAATAGAGCTTGAAGTCAGGGATGGTGATG